TAGAGTTCATGGTTAGGGCTAGGGTTTTGGGTTTGCGCTGGGTATGGCTCGAGCTTCGCAGCTGCACTCACACATTCTCGGAAAGGCATGGAAAGACCTGCTCCAGTCACCCCGGCTTTGCGGCTTTGTGGTTCTTGGCTTTCATGCATTCATCACTCTCGGTGCAACACGTCCTCTGGTCGGGGCACCTGGGAAGCTCAGGCCGGGCAGCAAAGATCAGAGCAACTTCCGACTCATGCCTGCAAGCTCGGAATCTGCTCATAGTCGACGGCAGATGGAGCCCGTTTGGCAACCTAGCATCTGTGAGTGTGTGTGTGGTGTTCGCACCAATGCATGGGCCCAGGAGATTCTGCTAGGCTCCTAGAGGCTGCGTATAAATTCCTTGCAACACTCCGTCTTCGGCTCCCTTGCTCTGCCGCATCCTGGCCGAAACTAGTGTTCTTCGGATACCCAAAGCCCAACACACTGTAGACTCCAGAGGCAGCCTACCTTGAGCTAGAAACAAAGACACCCCAACAGGCATCCAAGTGAAATTCACTCATATTCGTCAAGAAGCACGCCGCGGCATGATGAAGGGCTGCATGGCCATGCACATGCACATGGCCTCAGACACTGGAGCAAGAGGTGTCCAGCTTGGCTTGCTCATGTCCTTGTGTCGCAGGCTCCGGCCACTAGAGTGGCGCCCAATGCCATGAGTATCCAAGTCGCGGATGCCGTGTCCTGCTGAATCTAAGCTGGCACCCGCTGTGGTCGGTGATAACACAGCAAGGAGCACTGGTGCGGCATCTTGCTCAGCGATCTGTGTCTGCACCGGGTCGGATGTGCCTGACCAGCTAGGAGCGGTGAGAGTTTCAACAAGCGAACAACCTCGACATCAGCATCCCAAGAAGCCTTGTGAAGGCTTCGACGACAAACCCAGCGGCGTCGCCAGGCCAGGCAGCACCAACGGCCTGTGCTTCATTCTTGCATCGAGGGGTCGAGGGGTGGAGGAAAGTTTTCTCTGACCTCTGAGGCGCTGTCGCGCTTGTCGGGGTTGTCGCGATTGTCGGCATCCTCTGCACGTTGAGGACTCGGATCGACCCTAAAGGCTAACGATTCATGTCATGTGAGGATTGGGATGCTAAGTGACGATGTAGGAAAGGCATGCCCGCACCCCTCAAGATGAAAAGACCCGAGGCCAAAGGTGCCCCCAACACGTCCCACCGGTCCCTGGCACTGGCCGTCATCGCGCCCCTGAAAACTTAACGCTGCTGCGCTCTAACCCTCAAGGCCCTAAAGCTTGAATACTCGAACTAACAATCCGGCACCAGCGAATGACTGGTTGTGGTACATCACATTGTTGGGTGCGGTCAGGTCCTCGTTGGCAAAGCCGCAGTCTCCACATTGGCCTCGGCACATGTCGGCATTGTTGCACGCCTGACTGCAATGGCAAGATAGAAAAGAACGAAACCCCAAACCCTAAATATCCCCAATAACTAGACCAATCCAAAGCGCAATCATTCACAACTTGCGCACAACTTGCGGAACGGAGCTCTTCAGGCCATTGAGCCGTTTCCAGTCACAAGGGAACTCCCTAACGATTGGGCTCAAGCTGGAGGAGGCGTTTCATGATCCTGGGCTGGTAGCTGCGCTCCTGGCATGCACCGATCATCAACCGGGTATTACCCTCCCTCGAACCCTAAAACCCCTTCCCAGTGGCGCATTTCGATGCTGCTCCCTGCCGTGTTCCCTTAAGTACCCTAGCAGAGGTAGCTTGGGGCCTACGTTAGCCCTGAAAGGGCTTTCCTGGTCCATATGCCCTATCCTAACATGCAGTACAGTGGCACAGTGGTATATGATCCCAATTTTCAGGCTTCATTTAAGGTGCCCGAGGCGCTTCACTTGGGTTGCTTGCTGTATGGCAACTTAGCTTATGTTCCTCAACGAGCACCCAAGCAATCTCGGAAGTTGTGCCATTTGCAGCCGCTGCACAGAGCAAGTTGATGCCCTCTCCTCGTTGATGTTGCATGTCTTTGCACACCCCGGCGCGAGGCATCACACGTCTAGAAAGGTACAAGCCAAGGCCAAGGCCGGCGGAGCTACTTCTGCCGTGAGGTAAAGCATAAATCTTCCGAGCTGACCTGAGTCACTGGCCAGGAGATGCATCCTGCAATGCTGTGACCCTCAGCATGCCAAGCAAGCCCTACACCCTTGCTGTTGCCAAAACCCTGCCGCCCTAAAGACCCTCACCCGGAATCCGATAGACTTAAAGGTTAGGTTTCAGGGTTTAGACTTGGGTTTAGGGTCTGGGGCTCAGGGTTTTTGTTAGTTCTTCGCCAGGTCACTGCTTGGATACCAGCATTGAGGAACCAGGCAGCTCAATCAACCTTGCCGCGGTCCCGATCCCACAAGTTTAAAGCTTGATCTCACAAAGAGATGGGCATTTCCCAAAACAGGGGTACAGTAATCCCCAATGCGGTAAACCGTATGTTATGTAGCCTGGAAAAGGGTACCCCTGTTTTCGCAAATGCCTATATCTATCTCAGGACTGCGCTCAGTACACTGGCAAACGGATTCCGCAAAGGCCTGACAACATCCTAACTCTGAGCAGGGAAGTGAATAACCCCTTAAGGGTCATACAGCGGGGGATATCGGCTGTAGCACAGGCAGCCAGGCGGGGGGTGCTCAAAACCAGATCCATTCAAGCCACCGCCGCCTCGCGCTAAGGGGTGCAATGGGTGTTTCTTGCCTGGCACACAGTTACCTTCCATGGCGTTCATGGATGCTGGCCGGGTGCTCTTGCGCATCGTTGCTTCAGGCAGCCCAAACCCGCATGGTTGCAATTTCAAGCAATAGCCATTCTGAAAGAAATAGGAATGGTCCATGATGATGAGAAAACATGTACTACATACTATGACGAAGTGTTACGATCAAAATTCGCGAAAGAAAAAGGTACCTGTAGCTGCCTCCGCCACGCACGTCTGAACACTTCGTTGGGCAGCTGGCTCGCTGGACCTGTCCAGGCAGACATTGCGCTCTCTTGAGACTTTCGAGAGCGTCGGGTCACAAGCAAGCCAGCAGGCTCGCAGAGCAACCCGGTTTAGGGTTTAGGGTTTAGATGGGTTTAGGGTTTAGTGTTTAGGGTTTAGGGTTGAGGGTTGAGGGTTGAGGGTTGAGGGTTGAGGGTTGAGGGTTTAGGGTTTAGGGTTTAGGACCACACATTGCATCATTTTGCATTGGGCTCTGGATGGTCTGTGCGGATAGGGCAGAGGCCAAGCATGTGGAGCTCTGGATCCGAACTATGTCATCAGGTGACTTTCTTGGCTCGACGGCTACCGGGACCACTGGCAAATCTGTCATGGCGTTCATGCTCAGATTTGCAATCGATAAAACCAGAAACATCAAGAATTGCAGCCGCTGGGTACCAGAACCAGGTGGTGCATGCAGACCCTAGATGACCCTAGTGCATGAAGTGGCTGCGCTTCATTGTACGACTCTCGACTGTTTTGTTGGGGACTGTTGGTTGCTGTGTATCCCCCAGCGGATCAGGCCTTGAAAGGTACATGCGAAACTCTCGGGATGAACGGCTGGGAATGGAATCGACCTTCATCACAGTCGCATGCGCCCGCACGCAAAACCGCACATGTTGCCTGCCTTCCAGGCGAGGATCCCCTTGTCAGCCGTCAACGTCTGCCGACTCTCAACGGAATCCTGACACAGGTGGCTTGGCTTGGTCGCGCGAGGTCGTGCGAGAACACCTTCAAAGAACCCTAAACCCTAAACCCTAAACCCTAAACAAAGCACTCCGGTCCAGCAGGGTCGGCGACATGACCGTGAGGAAGCCGACATCACCTGCAACTAAGCCACTGCTGCAGCAATCTGTACACTGGGGGAACCAGCTCATCCACTTCAAAGAATCGGTCAATTATGCCTTCAGCTTCTCCAGCCACAACCCCGCGGACAGCAATTTGCAGAACCTGCGCTGGCCAGTAGCACTGGGCGGGCTTCGAACGATGCATGAAAAATGTCGGCTCTTCGGCATGACCCGCTCCTTCCCGTGGCTGCTTGTGAGACCACGATTGGCGATCCTGTAGGCTGGAGACGAAGCGTGGTAGGGAACTTGCATGGAGCCCTGCATCTGAGCTCAGAGCGCTTGCGTCAGCAAATTAGCGTCAGTGTTTTAGTGTGCGGCCTAACATGATGGGGTTCTTGGGCCATTGATACAGGGTCGAAGTGGGTCAAGATGAGCTTCTCATGACGGCCTGGGCACGTGTCTTGAGAGCGGATGCAACGTCGTTCTGCCCGAGAGAAGACGAAGCACGATGTCTCTTATCTTACTGGATCTGAGCAGGGAATCTGGGCATCAGGTTCCTAAAAAGAATCCCTTCAAGGATCAGAAAGGTGGAGAGAAGGCACCTAATTCCCGACCTCCCGATTAAGGACCAGTAGAGTCCCTTATCCTCTCCCCGGATCTCTCCCCCTGTCGATATTTGCTAGAAGCCGCAACTTACCGGGTGGCTTGTCTCCACTCTGCGACGCACTGCAGGTTCTCGTGCTTTGCTTTACTTTACTGGTTGGCGCTTTAGGAAAAGCTGGTAACCCAGCAACCATGGTATGGTAAGAGTGCACTTTTTTGGGTTTGGATACTTTAAAGGGCAAAGGGTACCACTGACTGACTGGGCTGCCAAGAAAGCCCGCGCTCCTGAGTTTTAGGAGGCTTCGCGGAGGATCTCCCAGAGATGAAAGGTCGGGGCCTGTGCCAGTCCAACTTTGGAGATCTCTCACACGCTAATGCCCTAAACCCCTAAATCCTTAAACTCCGAAACCCCTAAACCCCTAAACCCGGGTAGAGTGGTACATTTCCATGAGACCGCCTGCTGGTGGAAGTGGCTGCTGGACCTTGCAGCAGCTGCACAAGAACCCTAACCCTAACCCCTAACCCCGAAACCCTAAACCCTAAACCCTAATCGCAACAGTTGTAAGCTGTGGCCGGTACCCATTCTGTGTGCAACTCCATGCCAGCCTTGCCGGCAATGTACCTGCTTGAGACAAATAGCTCGGCCCAGGAGTTCCAGAAGCTATATGATGTATGATGCTCATGTGGGTTTAGGGTTTAGGGTTTCGGGTTTAGGTGTAGGGTTTCATCAAACTCACGGGCCTCTTTTGGTGTCTCTGTGACGGCTTTTTCTGGTGTGCTCCCTGTAGTATACTGTCGGGTTTCGGGCTACCGGCAAGGGCCCATGATTTCGCTCAACCCCCATGTGCAGGTATGGGCTCACAATGTACGGTCGAAGTTGCGGGCGTCAATGTCACCAATCTGAGATGACGGAGGCCAGAAGCCACCACTTTCAGGGCCCACCTACGCGAGCACAGCAAAGGTTCCCTAACCCTAAACCCTAAACCCTAAAACCTAAACCCTAAACCCTAAACCTAAACCCGACATGTGGCATCATGCATGTGGCACAAGCACCTCCGGAGACATCGAGATGATGTGCCTAGGTTGCAATTCTTGGATATGGGCTCGGGTTTGGGCTAGTACGAGAGCTCAATGACTGATTTGTGGTCTAGGATTTAGGGTTTAGGGTTTAGGGTTTAGGGCTTAGGGTTTAGGGTTTAGGCCGCAAATAGCGACCCAAGAACTTTCAAATACCCTTGAAGCAGGTCACACATGCTTGCGAGACACCTTGCCGAGTACATCCAGTCGTCAGACTCTCCAGAAGTGGTATAGCCCTGGACGAGATCATGGGGGTCTTCAACTGCTATCCTGTCCAAAATCTGCACGCCACAGGGCTTCAATTCCGGGATTCGCACCACGGTCTTTATTGCTGGGCCGAACTTTTTGTATCCTCAGTACACGCAGCGTAAGCAGAACCTCGCTTCTTGTCTACGTTCTGTCTGTTTCAAGCTGTTACTGTTCCAGCCACACGCTCGGCACGCCAAGGAGCCGAATACCCGAGCGATTTCCTGGTACACTTTCTTGTCTTCTGCGGGCATGAGATCGGCAGTTGCCCAGTTGTACCTCAGGTGTCGCATGCATGGCGCAAGCATTGCATGTTCTTGAGATCCTCAGGCAAGCAAGCAACAGACGACTGACAGGCGATACCGCTTTCGGTACTGCTTGCTGGGTGCCCGTGCGGATGGGTCAGCATGCTGCCGTAGGCATGGAAGTTCATGGCAGTCTTGAACTCATTCTCCTAGCATCGTCTTGAACAGCGCTCAAGTACGTCCCCTGTGCGATGCGACGCCGCTCCTCGCAAATCTTTTTGAAGGCTTGCGTCTCAGGCTCTGAGAACGGCTGCCTCAAACTGTGAGATGTTGGGGATGTAGCTTGCGGGGCCTTCTCCAATGTTGGCAGTATCTTGGGTTTGGGGAAGGCTCATGCACGGAGCCCGTAACAACAGTTCAATGTGGGATGTTCCCCCTCATACTAACAGTCCTTGATAGGGATTCGACTGTCAGTATAAGGGGGAACATCCCAAGGTTCAATCACCCCTCACTTCTGAGCTGGTAGCGTACCGCCATGCTCTTCATTGCATCCACCGAAGCTGCTGGACCAATGAACGGCGAAGTTCCTGCAATGTCGGCTCAAGCCTACACACCAAGGTGTGCTTTCAGCTCATGTGGTAATTTCCCAAAATAGGCCGGGGGTGGGGGGGGGGGGCCTCCCCCTACACAAAAAAAGGAGGAACGACCCCTAAACCCTCAACCCTGAACCCTGAAGCCTAAACCCGAAACCCGGTAAGAGTGTTTTTTTTTTGTTGCGGGTGCTTTTTTGCTGTGGGTGCGGGGGCGCGTTTTTTTTTGCTGCGGGTGCGGGGGCGCGTTTTTTTTTTTGCTACTGCGGGCTGAGGGGGGCGCGTTTTTTTTTTTGGCCTGAGGGTGAACGCGCAGAGGTGCGCGTTTTTTTTTGTGCTTGCCGGGGGGTGCGGGGCGCGTTTTTTTTTTTTGCTGCGGGTGCGGAGCGATTTTTTGCTGTTTTCTCTATATTTTACTATGAAAACCTCTATTTTCTCTAATTTTCAATAGGAAACCTCTTCTTCTCTATATTTGAATATGAAAACCTCTATTTTCTCTACATTTAGCATGAAAACCTCTAGTTTTTCTAATTTCTCTATACTTCAATTCGAAAACCTCTATTTCTCTCTATTTTATAACTAAAACCTCTATTTCTCGCTATTTTTGTCTGTATCGTCATAGTTTTCCCTCTATATTTAATGAGGAAGACATGAGAGAGGGATACATGAGAAACTTATTCTTTGTGTTATCTCAATATGTGACTTGCAATTAAAAGTGTTTTTGTTCCTCTTGTCCTATTTTGATAGGAAGCCCATTATTTTCTCTGTCTCTGAATAGGCAAACCTCCATTGTCTTAACATTTGATGAAAACCTCTATTCTCTATATTTGAATATCAAGACCTCTACATTTTAATATGAAAGCACTTTGTATTTTCGCTATATTTTCGTATGAAAGCCTCTATTTCCTCTATGTTGTCATAGGAAGCATCTAATTTCTCTATATTGTATAGCGAAAACCTCTATTGTTCTATAGTTTCTTATTTTGTCAGTATTTTCAGACTTCTTCTCTTTATTTCACGAGGAAGACATGAGAGAGGAATACATGAAAAGCTAATTCTCTATATTGTCATAAGAGTACATGCATTATCTCTATTTGTGACTCGTAGACAACAAGTGTTTTTGTTCATGTCTCATAACACAAGCTCTATTTTCTCGATTCTTTACTAAGAAGACGTTTATATCTCTATTTTTAAACGGAAAATTCAACTTCCACCATAAGGTCTGAATTTTCGTAGGAAAGCAAGCATATATTCCCTCTTTTTTCAGGGGGTTGGGGGCTGCGCAGACCGCCGCATTTGAAAACACAATGCTCGCATCATGGGTTTGGAAGGGATTCGTAAGCTTTGAAGCAGGCTTGCCGGCTAAAAAAGCGGGGGGGTTGGGGGGGGCGCAGCCCCCCCCCGTTTGCAAACACAATGCTCGCATCATCATGGGTTTGGAAGGGATTCATATGATTGAAGCAAGTTTGCCCTGCTAAAAAGCGCAGCCCCACCCCCCCCTTTCAAGCGGGGGGGAATGCTCTCATGATGGGTTCGGAAAGGATTCATTTGCTTTGAAGCAAGCGGCATGGCTTTAAGAAGCGGGGGGTTGGGGGGGGCGCAGCCCCCCCCTATTTGCAAACCCAATGCTGGCATGATAGGCTTGGACAGGATTCATATGCTGAGAAGCGACCTGGCACGGTTTTAAAGAGGGGGGGGGGGTCGGGCGGGGTGCAGCCCTCCCTCCACCGTTTGCAAACACAATGCTCGCATGATGGCCTTGGGAAGGATTCAGTGCTTTGAAAACGCTTGCACAGTTTAAAGGAGGGGGGGCGTTGGGGACGGGGTTGGGGAGGAAATTGCAAAACAAATGACCTGGGGGGTGGGGAGGAAAGGGGGGGCGGGGCGTTTTTTGTTTTGCTGCGGGTGCGGGGGTGCGTTCTTTTTTTGGCTGCGGGGAGGGGGCGCGTTTTTTTTTTGTGCGGGGGGCGGGGCGACAGGGGGGGGGTAAGGGGGGGGGAGGGGGGGGAGGGGGGGGGAGGGGGGGGGAGGGGGGGGAGGGGGGGGGAGGGGGGGGGAGGGGGGGTGGCGAGGGGGGGGGGGAGGGGGGGAGAGGGGGGGGGTGTTGCGGTTTTTTGTTTTGATGCAGGTGCGGGGGCACTTTTCTTTTTGATGCGGGAGGCGTTTTTTTTTCCTGAGGGTGGGGGAGACATCGACAGGCACATCACTCACCATGGGGGGTGGGGTGACAGCTTGGGCGGGCGGAAGTGGGGGTGCGCGTTTTTTTTTGCATGAGGTGCGGGGGTGCGCGTTGTTTTTTTGCTGGAGGGCGGGGGGGGGGAGGGGGGGGAGGGGGGGGGGGGATGAGTTTTTTTTTTGCTGTGGGATGCGGGCGCGTTTTTTTTTTGACTGCGGAGTGCGGGGGCGACACGCGCCAGGTCACTCACTCACCGGGGCGGCCCCCGAAAAAAGCACCCACAGCAAAAAAACACCCACCACAAAAAAAAAAACACGGGTTCCCCCGAAACCCTGAACCCTAAACCCTAAACCCTAAACCCTAAACCCTCATCATCCTAACCCCCAAAACCCTAAACCCTACCCCTGAACCCGAAACACATCCCCCTTCGCTCTGCTCTTGTCCTGTTGATGTCGACACCTCCCTCAACCGGAGACCTGCAGGTTGGCCGCCGGTTCTTCCGAATCACCTTTGAAGCTGCAAGGGTCTTCTAGGGTTTAGGGTTTAGGGTTTAGGGTTTGAGAGGTTTAGGGAGGGTCGGACGCCCTCATTTGGGGCATGCCAACAGCAGACCATGCAAGCCCTGAACCCAAAATTCGAAAGAGTGACCGTAATTTCCCTAATTAATGACCCAAATACCCGAAATACCCGAATTACCCTAATTACCTGATATCCGTGGAACCCCCCACCCCCACAAGCAGCACAGCCCAGCCTTGTTGCGCAGGCCCTGGGCCAAAAGTGGTTTAGGGTTTAGGGTTTGGGGTTTGGGGTTTAGGGTGTAGGGCAAGTGCAACCGCAGCCTTGTTGGCAACGTAGCCGTCCGGGTTGACAAAGGGCACGAACCAAATCTCCCGCATATTCAGAATGTATACGGCCTTGAGGGGAGCAGTGTGAAGAACCAGGATATTCTGCTGCAAAGCCGGGTAATTCTAGAAATTGCCAGGATTGCAGGGGACATCACGGGCTCTCTTCCTTCCTTGGCAGCCTCACAGGCTGTGATCTGGGGTTCTTTTGGATCTTTCGGATTATGGCCTGACTTTCGCACCCTTAACTTGAGAAGGGGCTACGAAAGCTAGTCACCACAGGGGGGTGGCATGCAGCGAGTCGGCAGGACTTGGAGCCGCCGGCGCAGCTTTTTCCGTATTTCAGGCACATGCCTCAACCGGTTAGTCAGGTAAGATCGAAGACCCCTAAACTCGAAATCTGAAGCCCTAAACTCCTTCAGCCCCCTTGCTTCCCCCGCTGGAACCCCGTGTCGCAAACGAAGTTTAGGTACAGGGACGCTCTGTTCAGTACGACCTCTGCAAAGTACCACAGACCTTCAGAGCATGGTGACTGTGGGGGGCGGGGGAGGACCTTGGGGTGGGGTGGGGGGGGACCTTGTGGGGGGGGGCGGGGAGGGGACCTGAAGGTGGTAGGGGGGGGGCCCCCCCCCCTACCTTATCCCACACGCAACCAGGGGGCGCCGGCACTTTGTATTCATTCGAAATGGCTTCATGGTGAGGTGAGGGGGGGGGGGGGGGGGCGCCCCCCCCCCCCACCCCCACCTTAAGTCTTGGGTTTCGGACCTGTTAAGGTGTGGAACCCGTTTTTTCCCTGGAAGCTTCTTAACAAGGTGAATACCAGTGCATGGGTAAACGACAACTCCCGCCAGCTCCACAGAGCTAGCTTTCGTGATTAAGCCCTCAATACCACAAAACCCCTTGAACATCCAAAAGCCCTTGGCGTGGAAGGTTAACGCATACCCCTGCCAGCTGGAGGAGATGGGTCCAGAGGAGAACTGACCTCTAACGTTTGGGGTTTAGGGTTTGGCAGCTTGACCTGTCTCTGCCACAGCCGGATACTGTACGATCCCGATGTCATTTTGTGTAGCTGAACAATCCGGCGAGAATTGTCGGCCCCCATATTTGGGGGGTTGGGTATTCCGAAACTTGAACATTCTAGAGTCCGATTCAACGTCTCGACCTGCACCGTCATGAATCTATGCAGGCCTGGTGTCTCAGTTCTACAGTCGCTTGAGTTCTTGGACAGATGAACTTGAACTTGTCACTGCGCGTGGTATCGTGGCTTCAACAGTCATGCAGGTCCGCTGGGCACGCTGCATCAGGGTCACCACTCTTGAACTTGTCCAACAGGTGACCGAGAAAGTAGAGCAGGACGGTCAGGCCTGCTGGCCTCAGCCAAAACCCTAATCCCTGTTGGGTGGGTTTTTATTGGGCAAATCTGTTGGCTGGAACCCTTGCTCACAAGATGAGACATATGGGGCTCCGGCTCGCGAGCGTGCATCAGTGCTGTCAGCAGGAGTTGAGGCTTGTGCTGCCTCTGGCAATCAACACAGCAACGACAACAAGGCTCTCAATGACTCTCAAGGCTTGCAAGGCTCGCAAACGGCTCGGCCAGCCTTCCTGCCGGGGTGGCCAGAATGTATGCCTCAATCGGCCTTGGGCTGGGGGCAGACTGGAAGCATGCACCCAGCAGCACTGCGCCAGTGACATCACGGCAGGCGCAGCCTATCTTGTCATGGCTCTTGGCTTTCTGAAAATTCTTAGCTCACCACCGGCCCTGGAAGCTTTTGCCTATCCTCAGCTTTCCGCTGCTCCGAAGCCGGGCTGAGCTTCATGACGTTCCCTAAACCCAAAACCCTAAACCATAAACCCTAAACCCTAAACCAAGGTCAGTGGGATGAGCGTGTCGCAAAGTAAGTCGACGTACAAGACAATGAGGTGCTCTGTTACGTTCGGCTCTAAGGCAATGAATTTCTACCTATATTGCACTTCAGAGTAGGTGTGTGTTGGTGTGTGTGTTGGTGTGTGTGTTGGTGTGTGTGTTGGTGTGTGTGTTGGTGTGTGTGTTGGTGTGTGTGTTGGTGTGTGTGTTGGTGTGTGTGTTGGTGTGTGTGTTGGTGTGTGTGTTGGTGTGTGTGTTGGTGTGTGTGTTGGTGTGTGTGTTTGTGTGTGTGTTGGTGTGTGTGT